TTGGGGCATGAAGCCAGCAGCGGTCTCCTGATGGTATCACCTTCAATCACAACCAGCTGCTTCCTGCTGGGCTCTAATTCTGTGTGTGTGTGTGTGTGTGTGTTGCAGTCCGGGCTGAAGAAGCTCAGAGAGCACGCTCTCATGGAGCTGATGGTGGTGAGTGTCGCCTCAAACACTGAACACAAGTTTAACATTTAGAAGCAAACTGAATAAATCCAGATCGTTCAGGTTCACAAAGTTCTGTGACTCCGCCCATAAGAACCTGTAGCCGATGTAAAGATGGACGATCACCCCTCTAAGGTCGTCTCCCTGTGCACCTGCTCTGACCACTCACCCTGTGATTTGACCTCAAACACGTTCACAGAGCAAGGAAGGGGCAGTCAGCACAGGACTAACAGGAAGATATTTAAAAGGTTCAGAGGAGACCGCCTTCAAGGAAAGATCATCCAGGTTTAAGCAAGTGGGGTTTTTAAATCTGGGTGATGTGATGAAGCTTTTAGATCACGCCTCATACACATTCATTTTATCAAGCTAACACCTGTTCAGTGGTACATATTCTGACTGAAACTACAGGAAATGAACTCGTTACAGCTTCCTGTTTGAAGTTTATGTGTGTGTGTTCACAGATGCACATGGAGGAGCCCTGCTTCGACTTCCTGAGGACGAAGGAGACGCTGGGGTGAGTGTTCTTCCGGTTAACTGTCACACTGATTCAAACCACAGCATCATCATGTTGATAAAGCAGGTTTCCTGAAACAGGTTTCCATAGCAACACAATCGCTGATAATGAGAACCTCCATCAGTGAACAACTCCACCCTGAGCCAACAGGAAAGGAGATCCCACCTTAACGTCAGCTGAATGAAATCAGAAACCTTTAATAACAAACGATCACGTGTTCATATCTGTGTCACAGAGACTGGAGTGTGAGCTGCTTTTACATTGAAAGAAACAGCAGGGGGCGCTAAAACGCAGAACTCCCCACATCATTGCTGAGTTTTTAACTTGCTGACTTCTGACTTCCTGACTTCCAGGTACCAGGTGTACCCCACCTGCAGGAACACGTCGGGTGTGCTTGGATTCTCCGTCACTGTGGAAACTCAAGCCACAAAATTCAGGTGAGGATACCTGTGTGAATTTAGCTGAGGTTTTCAGGTGAGCCAGTTTAAAGCTTCTTTTCGTCCTCCTCACAGCTCCGAGTTCGTTGAGGCAAAGATCGAGGAGTTCCTGGTGAGTTTCGGTGAGCGTCTGTTGGGTCTGAGCGACGAGGCCTTTGGGACTCAGGTGACGGCGCTCATCAAGCTGAAGGAGTGTGAGGACGCACACCTGGGGGAGGAGGTGGACCGCAACTGGTTCGAGGTGGTCACGCAGCAGTACGTCTTTGACCGGCTCAACAAGGAGGTGACGCTCATGTTTCTGCATCTGCATGTTACTTTACCAACGTCCACCCATCCATCCACCTAGTCTCTTTTCTGTTTATGTAATTCAGAGTTGCAGTGGAGGTGGAGCCTATCCCAGCTAAGTTGAGATGGATGAATGTGAATCTTACCAGAAGTCATGCTATGAAGTTTTCTCTCAGCACGTTCTACAGGCTCAGGTTTAACCAAACCAGCCAGTGATCGTGCCAGTGCTGGTGAATGGCCTACCGACCACTCACTCTTACAGCTGGGATGGGCTCCTCCTTCCCTGAAACTCTGAACTGAATAAGTGGTAAAGAAAATGGATGGATGGATCTATTGCGAGTTTGTCCTGGGAATTTGATGCTGAGAGGCTGTGTTGCTGGTCCTGGTCCCAGTTGATGACCGACTGTGGTTTGCGTTGCAGATCGAGGTTCTGAAGACGTTCACCCAACAGGAGCTGGTCTCCTGGTTCCTGGAGCACAGAAACAACAGCAGCAGGAAGCTCAGTGTGCACGTGAGTAAACAGGAAGCAGTATTTCTCTCTGAGCTGCGTTTGTAAGGAACGAGCTGTTTCAGTAAAGTTGAGTCGTTAAAGTCACACTCTTTATTTTCTTTCTTTTTCCTGTCTGCACTCAGGTGGTTGGCTTTGGTGTGGAGGAAGGTGATCAGAGCGCCACCTGCAGCCCAGATTCTGCTAACTCGTCCTCGGCCTACGGTGAAGTGAGCGAGCTGACATTTGTGCCGACCGAGTCGCCATCTCTTCAGGACACCACGCTCATCACCGACATCAGAGCTTTCACCTCCTCCCTCCCCCTCAACCCCTACCACAAAATCATCAACTAGGCTCCACCCTATAAAAGTGAAACACCTACTGATTGGTCATGTTTCTGCTGTGTCCTCTTCCTCTCTGTGATTGGTTACAACAGTGCTACATTCACTTCTTGTGGGAACTGATATGCTCTGAGAATCAGATTTCAGGTCAGTTTTGGACAAAGAGTCCAGAAAAACTACAATCATGGCACCTTCATGGGTCCGATGAAATTCCCCTCCTTGTAGCTTTCAACTGTGAAATAATGATTTTTCCCACAAGACATGAATGCAGTGTGATGACTCAGGGCTGTGGTATCAATAAAGTCATTATTTTACTTGTAAACACACACGTGTTCTTCCTGTTATGCTCTCTCCATGCTTCAGTTTGTCCTTCAGTAATAAAACATTTAAAGACATTTCATTTACAACTTCTTGTTTTCATTTGGAAAAAAAATCAGAAATAAAGCAGACAAAAAAGGCAATCATTGACCTCCATTAATATCACTGACTATAAAAACTATAATAAATCCTCAGATTTTTGGAATCCTGCAGCTTAGAAATTGGAATAACAACTAATAAAAATAACTCTTAGCTAGTATATGAGCTTAAATGAGTGGGAGTACATGCAGTGTTAAGCTTAACATATACCTGGATAACGTGAAAGGATGCACAGGAGAACTGTTTCTTCTTTCTCGCCTTTTTATCCCCAGTAGTCCGCACATTTATCACAGTATTTGATTAGTTGTTTTATTAGTTATTTAGTTAGTCTGATAACCTTTTTAAAAAGGCACACATATGCAACCACCAGGACAGATGAGTCCTCCGTCACAGTTCGTGTGGTCAGTGAGGATGGTCACCTGCACTTTTAAGGCCATTACATCTCTAATCCACATCCACTGCCACTGTACCTAAGGGTAATTGGGACAATGTTAAAGACTTTCTTCTGCACTTGCTTGTGGAACACCTAAATCCATGACAGTCATTCAGGCAGTAATACCAGGCCTGGAAACAAGCAATCCTTAAAATATTACAACATACCAAGCTTCTGTGTTTGAACGCAAAACAAATGTGTTATTTGATCCAAAGACAATAAATACATTTGTACTGATTATATATATATAAGTATATATAAGTAATGTAACTTGCAAAACAAAGTTGTGGAAACCCTAACCTTGGATTCAGAATAACTAAATCTGAGACTTTTTTTTTCATTGTAAGATTATTACAATGAGGGCAATATAATTATTTGTTGTTCAGCAGAACAGAGTCCAGTATGTTGACTCATACTTTTTTGCATTTGAAAATGGGTTGATTTTAATGCCATTACAGGAAGTGTATCTTAATCAGTGGGTAAACAATTAGTATGACACAGTCAGTCAAATTATTCTTGGTACTGTATACTTGCAATGAATACGTTGTTCTAACATAGTTATCTTAAGTAAACATTACTAGTTCTGGGAACTAATTAGACTTTATAGTGTATTTGAAGCTGATGGTGTCTCTGGAGTCACGGTGTAAGATCCTTAAGAGGCTTGCAGTTGTGCATAAACCTGCCATTCAGCCATCCCTAACCAAAACCCACAAGCAGAAGCAGTTGCAGTGGGCCCAGAAATGCATCAAGATTAATTTTCAAACAGTCTTGTTTACTGAGGAGTAGTGGATGGCAAGTGGCAACCATGTCCCAACTTGAGTGCAACATCAGCAAGGAGGTGGGGGAGTCATGTTCTGGGCTGGAATCACAAGGAGAGAGCTGCTAGGCCCCTTTTGGGTCCTGGAAGGTGTAAAAATGGTAAATTATATAGAGTTTCTGACTGAACACTTTATTTATGGTACAAAAGGAAGTGTGCATTCTGTAGCAAAATTATCTTCATGCATGACAATGCACCATCTCATGCTGGAAAGAATACCTCTGTGCCATTGGCTGCTATGGGAGAAAAACTAATGCTGTGGCCCCCATCTTCCCCTGACCTTACCCTTATTAAGAACCTTTGGAGCATCCTCAAGAAAAACATCTATGACGGTGGGAGGCAGTTCACATCCAAACAGCAGTTGTGGGAGGCTATTCGGACATCTTACAAAGAAATTCAAGCATAAACTTTTTAAATATTCACAAATTCAATGGGTGCAAGAAATGTGAAGTTTATATCAAAGAAGGGGTCCTATATTAGCATGTAAAAGATGTTTTTGATTTAAATAGCTTTTGGTTTCAGTAAATATGACCACCCTAATGCTGCAAATTCAAGAAATAACAGCTTTCAATTCTTTACAACCAATAAAATGTTTATAAACTCTAATGTGCATAATAATTTGGAACAGTGCATTTTGAGTTTTTTTTTTCTTTTTTGCAAAAACGTAGATATCATTGGGAGGTTTGTATAATGCAATTTGAATTGTGCTCTAATGACTGATGACTTGAAAATTATACAGACAGCCATTTGTATCAACTATATTATTTACATAATAATTTGGAACGTAGTGTATTTTCAAGCTAAGATTTAAGACTTTTCAGCCATTAATATCCACGCATGCTCACAGATTTGACACATTTACAAATCTGAATACACACAGACGGATTTCAATATGTACACAGTTATTTCCACGCAGTCCAAAGTGCGCACACACATGCGCAAATAATTTTGCTACGATAATAGCCTCGCCCTACCTACTCAGAGCAGGTTTGCTAAAACAAAACCAAGTTAAACCGCCTGTGGGTGGGTGCGACTATGATTAGAAACTGGACCTCACATCACTTCCTGTGAAAGGAGGCTCTTTCACGCAGACGCTTCGAGCATTTGAAGGAAAACAGAATGTAGGCTACATAGTGCCTCCGTTATGTTGATCGTGCACCTACATTTCTGCACACAGTAGGCGCCATCATATTTCATATTCACTAAGTCGACTGCCAAAACGAAGCCTGAGGTGAGAATTTTGTTTATGATTTTTTTTTTTTTCTCGAGAAAAAAGAAAAAAATTTACAGATCTGTTCCTGTAAATCGGCTAAATGTTTAAGTAGCGGCAAAGAGAATCATTCAAGAATGAGTTATTACTGTGCAAAGTTTTAATGTTTAGAAATTGTTAAAAGTATCGTTTTTAATGTGAGCGTGTGCTCTTTAACTTTAAACCGAGCTACCACTCGA